AGATAATGCTGACACACACTCCAAATTTAAGATCCACTGGTCTAGTTAATTCTTGCTGTCCTTCAGAATATAGGATTAGACCCCAGCTCCAATGCCCCTTCCTCCAGGAAGCCCTCCTTGACCTGCAGACCAGGGCTTCATGGCACCCCACGCTTCTATGTTAAAGTCATTCTCACCACCAAAGCCACATCATCAGCTGTGTAACCCACTGAAAGTCTTCCTCTTCCATGAGAACATGTGCCCCATGGGCCCAGGGAACATGTTCTCTCTTTTGCGGATCTACCCCTAGCACCTAGAACTATTCCTGACACATAGTAAGTCCTCGGTCAATATGTGTTGAGGGCATAAGTGACCACACAAGCAAGCCCTGCTCTTCCAGCCCTTCCTTCAGCAAACACTTAGAGCTACTGTGAGCCTGGAATGGGCCAGGGGCTGAAACAGAAAGAAGAGACAACCCCCACCTTCAAGGAGCTACAAGGGAAAAAGACACGGATGGAGACAAATGTATTGAGTCGGGTCTTTAAGGAGGGATGGTCAGTTGCCCGGCAGAGCAGTCAGGGAAAGGAAAGGTAGAAGGAACTGCATTTGCAAAGTGCCATAGTGAGCCGGGATAGTGCAGGCCTGAGAGGCTGGAGAGTCAAGCTGAGACCCAGGGGCTGAATGTCACTGGTTGGGTCCCAGCTTTTATCGTATCGGCTGGCACTCAGGAGCCACTGAATATTTTCAAGCAAGCAAGTAACCTGATGTCCTTTTTTTTTAATCCCTCTGGTAATACAGTTTGGGAAGCCAAGAAGGGTGGGTTCAATCATTCATTTATTCCCAAAGTATATATGGAGCGTGGCCCTGTCCTGGGCACTGGGGTGCGATGGTCGGTGGGGCAGATGTCCCGGGGACTGGCAGCCTGTCCTGGGCTCACTATCTTTAGTCTCCATCCCACAAGCAGGAGGTCATGGCCACCACCAGTACCCCCACTCTCTCCCTTGACACCATCCTGGGCCCCTCCCTGCAGCCTCCAGGGACAGTCAGTCGAGCTGCCCCCAGCCCCTGGGTCTCGGGTTTCTGGGGGATGAGTTCTGCGAGGTTCTTCCTGGGCAGGGAGGCAAAGCCAGCAGAATCTGCAGGGAACAATGGGCGCCTTTGTTGCTTCTGCCAGGGCGGGTCCAAGAATAGCTGTTTGCTCAGCTCAGAGCAGGGCTGGTGCTGGGGTAGGAGGGTGTGGGGCCCTGGAGCGCCCATGCGGGCAGGGCGTTAAGCCCCTGAGCCTCTGGGGCCTCCTCCGCTTTCTCCCCGGCCCACAGGGACGGAGGCGGCAGGAGACATCGCTTAGAGTGGCTATTGTCAGAGTCGGGTCCCAAAACTCATCCTGCCCCGTGAGTTTGTAAAGCATTCTTTTTCCTAAATAGAACTGTATGCAGAAACCCAATATGTAAAACCAGGTAAAATCTCCGTGGCTCTACTTAAAGGAGAGTGGGGACCCAGCCAAGTGATCCCCAGCTTTTCCATGCCTCCCTCCTTACCCGTTTGTCCAGGGCTTGCCCCCTCTGCGCTGCCCGGATGCCAGCACCACCCCTACCCAGTGCCACGCTCCCATGTCACACTTGGTGAAACAGAGGGAAAGTGCCTTGCCCCAGGCCATCCAGCAAGTTGGTGGTCAAGGCTGGGACTTACACTAGAGGCGTATTTCCCTGACCCGAGCCCACCCACCATTGCTCAGACTAACCATATTCCACGTGTAGTGCTAATAACTTAACATTTTTCTCTACATCAACTCACATTTTATTACTTTGGGGTTTTTTTAAGATTTTATTTATTTATTTGAGACAGTACGAGAGAGAGCAGAGGGCACAAGCGGGGAGGGCGGGGGGGGCAGAGAGGGGCAGAGAGAGAGGGAGAAGCAGACTCCCTGATGAGGGACTCGATCCCAGGACCCCGAGATCATGACCTGAGCTGAAGGTGGACGCTTAACTGACTGAGCCACCCAGGCGCCCCTATTACTTTGTTTTAAATGGAGATCTTATGGGGTGTCTGGCTGGCTCGGTTGGCAGAGCGTGTGACTCTCGATCTCAAGGTCATCATGAGTTTAAGCCCCACATTGGGCATGGAGCCCACTTTAAAAAATAAATAAATGGAGATCTTATATCATTACCATAAGTAGCAATCCTTTATCAATGGCCATAAGAAGATAACACATTTAATAAATACATAAATTTTCTTTTCGATTGTGCATCCCTGTGCCACCTGGCGGCATCTGACACATGCACCCTCTGGGCAATGCCACCAGGCACTTCTAAGTGTCTCACCTCCGTCCCGCTTGGCTCCACCCTCTTTGCTGGGGTGTGTGCGGTGTGCCCAGCCCTACGCTGGACTCTGAAAGAGGAGGGATGGAAGAGGACAGACCCTGCCCTCAGGGGCTCGCAATTCAGAGGAGGACAGGTACCCCATGGCAACACTCTGAGATGAAGGGCTGTCCCTGCCCGGTGAGGGACGAGGGACGAAGCCTGTGGGGCAGCGGGGGTGGGCGGGTGTCTTCCAGGTCGGCGGATGGACACTCAAGTCTCCCTCAGTGACTCAGTGGCAAAATTGGGCCCAAACCCACATCTTATGTGAAAGTACCCCCAATCCAGGGTTTTTGCTGAGACTCTGCTTCTCCTACTGATGGGTGTGGACAGATGGCAGCAGACCACTGCCGACAAGTATGCAGCCTCCGATCAGCCCAGTGGCCCCGTGAGGGGCTAAGGAATTTAGAAGGGGGCAGATGGACAAGAAACAGGGTGGCCCTGGAGCTTTTTTTCAAGCTCCTCTCCCAGGCCCAGGCGTGGACTGCCAGACCCTTGCCCGCACTCTCCCACAGTGGCCCCCAGACCAGTGGTCTTTACCAGCAGCACCTGCAGTCGGTGGCCTGGGTCCTCAGACCCTGCGGGACTCATACTCATGGCCTCAGCCACCCCAGGGCTCTCACCACCAGGCCACACTGCTGAATGTCTAGACCAGTGGTTCTCAGAGTGTAGGCCTGGGCCAGCATCACCAACCATTCCTGGAGATGGGGGCCCCACTGCAGACCTACCAGATCTGAAACTCTGAGGAGGGCAATCGGCGTGTAGACAAGCCTTCCAGGTAATGCTGCTGAACTCTGAGAACCACTGGTGGAAACCTCTCATCCAACCCGACCTCCGCCCTGCCAGCCAGACTCTCCAGGGAAAGGACCTACTGATCTCTAGCTTTAACAAAACAAAAAACAAAAACCCAGAGATTTAGACTGCACCCCCGGCTGATTCTGATGCCCAACCATAGTGGAAAACTATTCTGGAACCCAGGAGCGCCAGGCCCTCAGAATAGCTGATGTGGCTTTGAGGCAGACACTTGTACCTATCTTAGTCCCAAATCCCATGAGGATCCCACCTAAATCCCTCTGAGCCCTCTTTAGCCTCTGGAAACCTTCAGACCAGGGACTGGATTTAACAAAACTGTCTGCCCTGAGCACCTTCCTCCCCCAGTCTCCCCATCCTTCCTATCACCTCCCCTTAAACCAGTGTCTTAAACCAGTAACAAAACACCGTGGGCTGGGTGGCTTAAACAAAGAAATGAATTTCTCACAGTCCTGGAGGCTGGAAGTCCGAGATCAGGGGCCAGTGTGGTCGAGTTGGAGTGGGAGCTCTTCCTGGCCCGCAGGCAGCCACTTTCTCACTATGAGCTCATACGGCCTTCCTCGGAGTGTGGGAGAGAGAAAGATCTCTCTTCCCCTTCTTACAAGGCGACCAGTCCTATCGGATCAGACCTCGTGCTCATGACTTCATTTAGTTCTATCTTCTGAAAGCCCTCTCTTCAAATGCAATCATGTCGGGCGGGGGTCAGGGCTTCGGCATGTGAATTTGGGGGCACACAGACATGCATATAGCAACCAGATCAAACCAGTCCATTTCCTGCCCTGACATCTTCATGGCTTTTCAAGAATTCCGAAAGTACTAGGATGCCTGGGTGGCTCAGTCAGTTAAGCATCAGCCTTCGGCTCAGGTCACCGATCCCCGGGTCCTGGGATCGAGCCCTGCATCGGTCTCCCTGCTCAGCGGGGAGCCTGCTTTTCCCTCTGCCTGCAGCTCCCCCTGCTTGTGCTCACTGTCTCTCTGACAAAATTTAAAAAAAAAAAGAATTCCAAAGGTATCAGCCTTTAACAGAAAACCACTCCAGAACCCCTAGGAATAATTCTCAGCCCCTAGGAATGACTCTCAGAGGAGGGAGTTCCAAGCTGGGAAAGAACGTGTGGTGGGAGGGAGGGATTTTTGTGACAGAGCCAGCCCACCCCTGCCCCTTGAGGACCCAAGTCCCAGGCTCCTTCCCTGGGCAAACCCAGCGCTTTGACACCTGCCTCGTGCCCTCCAGTCAAGTTCTGCCTGCAGTTCGCACGCTGGACTGGGGGTGGGCGCTGCCTTTGGAGCAAATTCGTTTCTTGGTCTGGGCCTCAGTACCTGCACCCTTAGGGCCCCACATGGCTGTCCCTCAGAAGCACAAGGAAGCCTGTTAAGAATTCAGATCCTGGGCGCCTGGGTGGCTCAGTTGGTTAAGCGACTGCCTTCGGCTCAGGTCATGATCCTGGAGTCCCGGGATCGAGTCCCACATCGGGCTCCCTGCTCGGCAGGGAGTCTGCTTCTCCCTCTGACCCTCCTCCCTCTCATGCTCTCTGTCTCTCATTCTCTCTCTCACAAATAAATAAAATCTTTAAAAAAAAAATAAAAAGAAAAAGAATTCGGATCCCCAGGCCCTGCCCCCGAACATTCTGGCTCAGTGGGTACAAGACTGGCCCAAGGAACCTGTATTGTTACCAAGTATCCTCCCCACTACTGGGTGATTGTAGTGCAGCTGGGTCCTTGGGGGTCCCCCAGACCTGGCCACCCGGGGGGGGGGGTCCCTGCAGCCCCGTCCCTCCAGGAGTCCTTTTTGGAAGCGCTTCATCCCACCAGCCCTGGGATCCCCCCTCCATGACCCTGTCTCCTCTCTCCCTACAGCGCAGCCCCAGCCGAGGCCCAGACCTTCAGCCTGAAGCACTCAGAGCGCGTGAGGGTGGAGGTGGTGCGTGACGGGCAGGCCGAGGAGGTGGCCACCAACGGCAAACAGCGCTGGCTTCTGTCGCCCAGCACCACGCTGCGGGTCACCATGAGCCAGGCGAGCGCCGAGGCCAGCAGTGACAAGGTACCCCAGCTGGGGAGGTCCTCGGAGGGCGGCGGGAACCCGGGGCCAAGCGAGAGCAGCGCCATCCAACACAAACAGAATTCGAGCCACACTTGTCGTTGCCACGTTCCTAGTGGCCACACTCAAAGAACAGAAAGAGACAGGTGGACTCCATTTTAGTAGTGTATTTTCCTTAACTCCATAGATCACCATATTATTATTCTGACGTGATGCCAACATAAAAAAAAAAATTCATGAGCTAGCGCACATTCTTTTTCATACCAAGTCTCTGTCACACTTAGAGCACATCTCAGATCAGATTTGCCACGTGCATGTGCTCAGGACGCACCTGTGGCTGGTGGCTGCTGGACTGGAGGCAAGCTCAAGGCCAGACCGTGGAATGATGGCTTCGTGGAAGGTTAAAGCCGTGGGCTGCTGAGTGATATACTAGAATCACTGGAAGTTACAGCCCCAAACATCCTTGGCCTCCTCGTGTATTAAATGGGGTGCCGAGTATCCATGCAGCAGGGCGATTTGCCCAAGTGATGAAGCTGAGACCAGACGTCTCTTCGCTGGCTTCTCTAGTTATGAACCTCCCCATGCGCCCCGTGGTAGTGATGGCACTGGGCATTATCCAAAGAAAACAACCCTGGTGGTTTAGCAGGAGCGAGTCATACACCATGGCAGATGGGGGGGGGGGGGCCGGGGCAGGGGGCAGGCAGCAGAATGCACCAGGGGTCATAGGTAAGCAGTCAGCACCCGGCATGCCCTCTGAGAGGAGGGGAGCCCCCTATCTGTTGGATAATTTGAAAGAAGCAGCCCACCAACCCAGGAATGCTTCCTGGAGGAGGGGGTTTGGATGTCTGGGGAGAATTGGCTTGACAGGCTGTGAGAGGTGAGTCAGGGAGGTGGTCACTGCAGATTTCCCCGCCTGCGATCTGTGATCTCTGCTCTTCTCTCCCTCCCAATGCACCCCTCCCTGCCAAGGTCACCGTCAACTACTACGAGGAGGAGGGGAATATGCCCATTGACCAGGCGGGGCTCTTCCTCACGGCCATTGGTAAGTTGGTGGGGCTGTGGCCTGGGTGCTTTCCTCCCCAGGGTCTGACGCTGCTGCCCTTCTCAGCAGCCCTTGGCCTGTTTCCCACACTGCAGACCTGGCTCTCGGAGCTTCCTCTGAATAATGCAGAACCGAGAAGTGGTGCCACACATGCCCAGATCCTTCTGTCCCGGGGTGAGGGCTGTCCTGCAGGAGGAGGCATACCCTGGTCTGCCAGCACCTCGCCCCCAGGGTCAGCATCCCCACCCCAGGCTCTGTGGGCCACTGAGAAGAGCAAAGTCTGTTCCTCCCCGCCTCTCCCCTGCAGCCTGGAGAAGAGCTTGCCTCTCATAGCATGTCCCTGACAGTCCCAGCTACCCGCTTGCCCTCCCTTGACCCTGCCCTGGGAACACAGAGAGGAACTCCACCTAGTGCCAGCCTTTCTCTCTTTTTTTTTAAAGATTTTATTTATTTATTTGACAGAGAGATAGAGAGCACAAGTAGGCAGAGAGGCAGGCAGAGGGAGAGGGAAAAGCAGACTCCCCACTGAGCAGGGAGCCCAACGTGGGGCTCGATCCCAGGACCCCGGGATCATGACCCGAGCGGAAGGCAGCCGCTTAACCGACTGAGCCACCCAAGTGCCAGCCTTTCATTTGGCATTGAGGACAGGGAGGCTCAGAGAGGTTAGGAAACTTGTTCAAAGTCACACAGCAACTCCCTGGCAGGTTGGGTCCAGGGCTCAGGATGGTTCCCCTCCCGGGGTCTTCCCATCTGCACAGGACTCCCCTGCCTGGGTGCCGGGGCTCGTGGGGTGTGGTCTTCTTCAGTCACTCTACTCTCCTGCAGGTGAGGTGTTACTTTTATATCTTCTTTTTCATTTTAATTACATAATGTTTAAGCCAGGAGGACAGGTCAGGGGGTCGTTCTGTCTGTCCAGCCTTAATTTAGCATTGATAGAGCTGCCACATGGCAGGGAGAGAGAACTATCAGCTATTGAGAATGTCTTCCATTTATTCAACACCTACTCTGGGTGCTTCGAGGAGGAGAAGGAGAAACGCCTGACCTTTCTTGAGCACCAACCGTGTGTCGAGCTCCAATCCTTTACTGTCACAATCTCAATCCACTCTTCCAGCTATTCCCAGAGTAGACAAGGGGTCTCAGAACTTACCCCAGAAAACAACTAATTCCCACATCAGCTTCTCCTCCTCCAGCCACCAAAGTAGGCTCCCCAGCAATGCTCCTCCTGTTTTCTGGTCACCCTGACCCTCTTTCTGCACCGGGGGAGTGCCCAGCCTTGGGGTGGGGTCCTCGGGACACCCTCAGGGGGCCCTGAGAGAGGCACGAAAGCCTCCCGAGTTGCAGTGGAGGGCTGGCCCGCACCTCACATGCACACACGGCCGCCGGGGCGTCTCAAATGACCGGCCCTGAGGAAACCTAATCCCACTGAGACGGGGACACCTGAGGACGTAAGCAGGAAGGGCAGTGGCCTAAGGCCTGTCCAGTGAGGATGGTCCCAGAGGGCTGACTCCACCATGAGCAAGACTTCCCCCAAAGCCAGGCAGACAGGATAGATGGCAAAACGACACCCCATAAGGAGGCAGGACTGGAAACTCCCCCTAGTCTGAAGGACTGTGGAGCTTGTGCTCGAGGGAGCAGCAGGGCTGAGAGCCCCCAGAAGACATTAACTATGCTTCCAGATATTCAGGTTCTATGGACCAGTAAAATGCCCGCCCCACCCCCCAAGAGTAAGCCTGACAATGTTGATGCTTGGCCAAAAAGAAAAAAATATTAATAAAATAATTTGCCAACAACTATCACCATCATTCTAACATTTTCACACCTAAAAAGTAGGCAGAGGAATCATTCCAGAATAAAAGACAGTCATTTATGTTGCAGAAATAAACCTCACCCACTGAACTTACATTTCCTGTTCCACCAGGGACCCTGGTGGAAATTTGGTTCCTCTTAGGGTCCACCGGTCTGTCTGACCCTCTGGGTCTTATCTTCCTCAGGCATCTACCCCAGGGGCCCTGAGCCCGACGTCCTGAGTATTCACTACCCCTTCATAGGGAGGGCACCTCAGAAGCAGGAACACCCCGAAAGTTCTGGGATGGTGGGGCTGCCCCCCCAGGGACATATCAGAGTCCATCAAACCCTAGTTCTGCCCTGAGCCCACCCTGAGCAGAAACAGCCCTGGCTGCAGTGTAGACATAAATTAGTCCAAGTTCTGGTTCTGCCCCTCCAGCTACATTGTGACCGTCACCGCCCTGAGCCCCAGGTTCCTCATCTGCACAGAGGGTTTCACCGCGCCCTCGTGCACAGTGCTCACAGGGATCCGATGGGAGGCTGTGTGCAAGGGGTAGATGCTCAAGTCAATACATGTTCTTCTCTCCCTTCTGCTTGGGGTAGCCACATTTTTCCTCCGCCTGGGCAAAGTTGAAGAACCATATTGTCCCTCGGTCTTGCTCCTGGGATTTGGAAACAAACCCATGGTGCCCTTGGCCAAACCAGGCCCTGGGGCTTGGCTCCCAGTCCTGCCAAGGACGTGCTGTATGACTTCACCAAGCAGCCCACCCCTCAGGACCTCACTTTCTCCCAGCTGTAAAATGAAGGCTTCGTGCCTGTTGGTCCCTCAGGGCCTTCAAGACTCCAGGTAGGGCTGAGTTGCAAAGCCCTTCCTGTGAAGGGGACTGTGGGAGGGGAGGACTGGGAGAGGGAAGAATGGTCTCACCCTCTTGGCTGTGGTCCTGGCAGCAGGAGCAGGGCATGAGCCTTGAGAAGTTTTAGCCTCATCCTAAGGACCTCATTTCTTGTGCCCCCTCCCCAGGGCCTAGGATAATTGCCCTAGTTGGCTGTGGGGGAGAAAGTCCTTCCTCCCCACCACACCCCAAGCTGCCCAGTTACATAAGAAGGGTCGGCACCCTGCCACTGGGCGCCAGCGGCCTGCCAAAATGCTTATGCCTCTGTGTCAAGCCTGAAGCCTCGGTGTCTAGATTCTCAGGGCAGACTACCTTGAACTCAATCCCAGTGACATTTCCCATAAATCTGCCCCACACCCCAGGTGCCACCTGATGCCGTGGGGCTATTCTGGGGAGCTGAGGTAGGATTCCGAGCCTCTGGGAAATGTCATCTGGAGCCCAGATGCCCCAAAACAGATGTCCTCACCCTCCTTCCCTGTGGGGATGACAGAGGGCAGAGCTCTGGGTGGGTCATGACTGACGGCCCTGTTCTCTGTCCCTACAAGGATCATCCCGTTGAAATCTAGTTAAATTGAACATTAGAGGGAACTTTGAAGGGGAGAAGCCCTGGAGGTTGGGAGATGGGTGATAAGAGAGCCCGATGACATAATGTCTGAATTTTATAACAGGAAGTCAATGAAACTTGTCTGAAGTTAATAAATCAAGGAAGAGCACTAAGCACATGACTTAGTATTATGGAGATTGCCTCAAGCAGGTGAGAGGATGGGATGGACAGGAAACTGCTATTTTTTAGAAGCTGTTTGGTGCTATTTGAGGTTTGTTTGTTTGTTTGTGGGGGGGGGTTGCATTTTGTGCAAATATTACATCGATAAAATTTTTATTTTTTTAATTTTCTTAAAGATTTTATTTGGGCGCCTGGGTGGCTCAGTTGGTTGGGCAACTGCCTTCAGCTCAGGTCATGATCCTGGAGTCCCGGGATCGAGTCCCGCATCGGACTCCCTGCTCAGTGGGGAGTCTGCTTCTCCCTCTGACCCTACCCCCTCTCGTGCACTCTCACTCTCTCTCTCTCAAATAAATAAATGGAATCTTTAAAAATAAATAAATAAATAAAATAATAAAGTTTTTTTTTATCTATTTGAGAGAGAGAGAGTGAGCGAGAGAGAGAGAGCATGAGCAGGGAGGAGGGGCAGAGGGAGAGGGAGAAGAAGGCTCCTTGCCTAGCAGGGAATCTGACGTGGGGCTCGATCCCAGGACCCTAGGATCATGACCCGAGCTGAAGGCAGATGCCCAACGACTGAGCCACCGGAGCGGGTGCCCCTACATCAATAAAATTTTTAAACTTAAGGAATTTATCATGAAGTAAAGCACAGTTAAGTGCTTCATGATGTCTCTCCTGTGACCCACTGTGTTCATGGACCCTCCAACAGCCGTGGTGTGGTGCCACCTTGATCTAGGGACGAAAGTCCCAGGGCTGCCAGGGTTGGGATATGGCCGGCTCCTCTGGGAATGGCCTTAAGGGGAGTAAGTCTTAGGTCTTTGAAAGCGGCCTTAGGTCTTAGAAACAGCCCAAGGTGGAGATCAGCCTGAGTCGGTGGAGAGGAAACAGGCCAAGTTCAGCAGTCTGGAGTCAGAGGCCCAAGTGGGATGCCTGGCTCTGCACTCTCTGGGGACTTTGTGGTCATTTCCCCGCAGGGTGCCTTGGTCTCATCTGTATGGTGAGGGTGGCTGGGTGGGTGATAACTCTCCCAGTTGGTGTGATTGAGGGGAGAACACGGAAGGGGAGGCGCTCCGCCTCCGGCAAAGGGAACTGCACACACAGAAGAGATTGTTATCTGGAGAAGTAAAGACAGGTTCCTTAGGGAGCCCAGGTCTGTGGCTGGTTCCCAGGGAGGAGCTTCAGGAAGCCAACCTCCCTGAAAGGCAACATTCACTGGAGAGTGTCCAGTTGGAAAGTTCATGAAGGTCTGGAAGCCAAAGTCAATACTGTTCCTCCATCTGAGGCTTCAGTCTCTTTAACAGCAGCTGGTGGTACTTGCTTCCTCACTTTGTCCCTGGAATCCTTACCCTGCACCAGGCTCCAGGTTATCAGCCCAGTTTGCTGACAGGTGACGTCTCTGAGGCTGGGTTTGCTCACCTCTACAGTGGCAACAATAATATGTCATAGGACTGGGGACTCCAGGGCAGGCAGTGTGCCCCGAATGCCCACCACTGGGTCCCCATGCCTCGTAGAGCGCCTGGAACACAGAGGATGCTCAGTGGTGATTTGCTGAGCAGATGGGATCAATGGGAGGAGCTTATCTAATCATGCATGCCCTGTGGCACCCGACTGACAGCTGGGCTGCAGAGGCTGGGACACTGGGGTGCTGTCTCTCCCAAGGACCAAGCGCCCTGAGAGTTTCCCCCATCCTGCCTCCTTCTAGACCCAGAAAGGCCACATGCAGGGAATGGGGCTGTGAGCAAGGAGAGGACTTGAGTATTATCCCCAGGGTGAGCCGCCTCAGGGAGGGTGACATCAGCGGCCCTTCCTGTGCCAGAACCCTCCTCCCCACCCGATCCAGGGAGACAGCAGGCCTGCCAAGGGAACAGGCCAGGAATGCATTCACTCCCACCCAGCTCCCGCCTCTGTCCAAGTCATGCTCCGCGTGAGGCCGAGCCCACGGAGCAGCCCCAAGACCTGGACTCGGCTCATCCCATTGTGTGACACTCCCATCACCTTGGGACAACACCCCTGCCCTGCCTTGCCCTGTTAGTCTCTAACTCAGGGCCATTTGTCCTCCCAAGGGACATTCGGCAATATCTGGTGACGTTTTGGTTGTCTCAACTGAGGGATGTTACTGACATCTGGCAGCGAGAGGCCAGGGATAATGTTAAACATCCTCCAAAGCAGGTAGGGAAACTAGGGCTCAGAGAGGCTGTCTAACCTGCCCAAAGTCACACAGCTTGTAAGCAGAAAACCAGGGTTCGAACCCAGCACTGTCTAACACTAAATCTTGGGCTCCTTTTACCGCCCCACAGTTTCCATGAAGCCGGTCCCCAGGACAGGCCTAGGGATACCAAACACCCCTTCCCCAAGAGGAAGAATAAGCAGAGACCCCAGCCTGGATCCTCTATCTGACAGCCTGGCTTTCTTGGGCACCCTCAGATTGAGACGGGTTGGAGACCCAGCTTCCCACCCAAAGTAAAACCCTGGTGGGAGGCAGGAATTCTAGAAGAGATCACGCACAAATGCATGTGGGCACACCACCAGGACAGACTGCGAAAGGCGGGCAGGAACTCCTATGAGAGTTTTCCAAACATGAGCTTCAGCTTCAGGTCAGGCCAAACGCACTGTGTGGGGCACATGACTTGGCGTCTCTGAGCCAAGGCTCCTGGATCTTTCCAGTGAGGCTCATCCCACACACCACCCAGAACCGCCTGCAGAACCATGAAGTGTGGCGGGGGGGTTCCTCTGCCCTACCTGCTAGCGCCTCTCCAGTCTGTCAGGTGTCCGCTTACGTCCTCCATCAGGTGGCGGGAGGTTGGGGCAGGGGACTGCATAAGATGGCAGCAAGGCCCACCCCTTCCAGGGACCAAGCGAACGTGTGAGCTGCACCCTAATCACACAGGGCTTCCTCCCGGCCCCCAACCCCGCCCCCCCACCCCACTCCCCCGTCTGGCAGGCTCCACAACTCACCTGTGTGTCTGTCCCCAGAGATCTCCCTGGATGTGGATGCCGACCGGGACGGCGTGGTGGAGAAGAACAACCCAAGAAAGGTACTGAGCTAGGCCCTGGGGAGCAGAGCCCCAGGATGGATGCTGCAGGCAGCCATGGTCCTCCCCACAAGCACAGACAGCTCTCCTTTTACAGATAAGGAGACTGAGGCCCACAGAGGAACCAAGCACCTTATAGCAACAGCTGCAAAGCGCCTTCCGCAGCCGGATCCCCCATCCACAGGGTGGGACACCCAGTTCGCAGAGCTGTTGGAAAACATCCTGCCGCAGAGGAGGCATTTGCTCTTATTACTTTGCCTTTTTTTTTTTTTTTAATGTTAAAACTGAATGAGGGGGACCATCAGGAGCAGAAGGCTGCATGAATCATTCTCAGTTCGAGGCATGTTATTTTTAAGGGTGCACCCACGCCCCCTCTCTTGTTTTATTCATTCATTCATCATTGCTTCTTCGGTTTATCTACTCATTAATTTATTCCCTCCTCTCCTGCATTTCACACTCCCATTTTGCTTCCCTACAAAGGACCATCCTAATGGGTTTAGTGTTCCTTTCTGTTCTCACAGTTCTTGCAAAACACGCAGTGTGGTTGCTGGACATGTATCTTCAGCTTGCGTAGACAGCATTGTGTTCTCTGTCTCAATCGGCCGTGTACTTTGCCCTCCAGGCGGGTTTTAAGCTCCAATGCTTTTGCTGTGTACATGCAGAGGTGCTTCTGTGTTCCATTTCCTGGCCTTCTATATCGTTCACATTGGTTGTTGCCACTGGCTTATGTTTCTTTCAGAATAACAACCTAAACCCTGCTTTAAATGACATGTAGATGGCTACTTGAGAAAGTTAAATGAACACAGCCCAGAGAGAAGCCTGGGTCCTAGCAGCCAGCCCCGGACTCTCTGTACCAGGGACGTGGGGCCTCAGGCCTGCTGGGGAGCTCCTTCTCCCCAGCTCCTCCGTGGGGCTCTGCCTTCTGGAGGCCACCGGCAGCAAGGAGACACCGAGTCTGCGTCCGTGGCCAAGCCACATGACAGTAGACCCCACGGAGGCCTCAGCTGCACCCAGCCTCCCCCGAGCAACTCGGCAGCCTTGGTGAAGTCACACAATCCCTGTGGGCCTGGACTTTCTCAGACTCTCTCTATCTGGGCCTGTGGAGTTTCATCTGTTCTCTCTACTTGTCGCATATGTATCTGTTGATATCCCAGAACTGGTCAGGCCCTGGGGCTGCAGAAGGAAAGAGAGAAAGTCAGCTGCTGCCCTCAGGGAGCCCACGGTCCAGGGCAGGGGATGGGGGGGGGACCACATTAAACAGAGTGACATGGGTGACCATCTCATCACAATTGTCCCAAGTTCGCCCCCAAAAAGAACATGTACGGTGACCTAAATGTAACCCCAGAGCAGCCGCTCAGGGCTGGAGACTCAGAAAGGCTTCCGGGAAGAAGGGATGGTCATGCTGTGACCACAGGAGGAATGGGGATGGCCAGGTGAGGGGAGACGGGACAGCGCCGGGAGCATGGGACCTGGGAGGGCAGAGAGCCGGGAATCTGCTTGGGGAGGGGGGGCGCGCAGAGCGAGCCAGCTGGTGGGGGAGACGGATGGAGGGAGAGCGGGCCGGTCTTACCCGGCCTTGCAGCTTGCAGTCAGGGATTGGGGCTTTATCCTAAGTCAACAGGGAGCCCCAGACAGGGCTTAAAGCAGGAAAGCAACATGATCTGGTTGGAGCTCATTCCATTATGGCCCTGGCTGCAGCAGAGAGAGTGGATCGCCTTGCAGGTCCCATGTGGAGCACTCAGCATGTCTGGAAACAGCTGGGTGTCCGTCCATCCAGGCGTCTCCCCCTGATCCCCTCTGGGGACTCCAGAACCTGTTGTAGAATGCGTGCCTGCTCATTCCTCTGGCCGCCCTCCGTCTCCCTGCCCCCACCCATTCCAGGTACAGGCACACCAGGCTTGAGGTTCATAAATGCCCAGTTTTCCAATCTCTGTGTCCCTCTCTGCCCCCATCCCCCTCCTGAGCTTGTCTCTGGTGCCTACACTGAGCCTCTCTGGGCATCAGATGTGGGGTTCACATTTGCCAAGTCACCCCTGCCCCGATGCGTGGTGGCTGCTCTCTGTTCTCATCCTGGGGCTGTCTCTTTGGTGTCCTGTGGGGTCTGCAGTGGAGCTGGGAATCAGCCAGAAGGTAGACAAGAAGGCGCTGACCCCTCTCCCTGACATTGCAGGCATCCTGGACCTGGGGCCCTGAGGGCCAGGGGGCCATCCTGCTGGTGAACTGTGACCGAGACACGCCCTGGCTGCCCAAGGAGGACTTGAACGATGAGAAGGTCTACAGCAAGGAAGGTGCCAGCAGGACCCACCTTTAGGGTGGGGGGCGGGGAGGAGCAATGGAAACACCCATGCTCCATTGTGGGCTGGGCCAAGACTTCGGTCTCCTAGGGATGGTGGACTGAAATATCCACTCTTGGGGCACTGGGGTGGCTCAGTCAGTTAAGCATCCAACTCTCGATTTTGGCTCAGGTCATGATCTCGGGGTTGTGAGATCAAGCCCCGTGTCGGGCTCTTCACTGGGTGTGGAGCTTGCTTAAGATTCTCTCTCTCTCCCTCTGCACATCCCAGCTCGGCTCTCTCTGAAAAAAAAGAAAAAAAAATCTACTCTTGCTAAAATACAGAAGATAAAACTATTAATGCAGTTCAATTGGAACCATGTTTTGTAACAGGAATTACACCTACACAAACACATAGGGAAAGGACTGGAAGGAAATTCCCAAAAAATTACAGGAGGTCATGGTCTCAGAGAAGACAATCAGTTTTTATGCTTTTCTACAGTTCCCACAATACGTATGTGTGGGGTTTTCTGTCCCAATTGGAAAAGTAACGATTATTCCTGAGCCCACATTGCAGCTGCATGTCTCTTAATTCTAACTTCCTCTGCATCCCCCACTCCCCAGACCTCAAGGACATGTCCCAGATGATCCTGCGGACCAAAGGCCCTGACCGCCTCCCTGCCGGCTACGAGATAGTTCTCTACATTTCCATGGCCGACTCGGACAAAGTGGGCGTGTTCTACGTGGAGAGTGAGTGACCCCAGTGCAGCCCTTCTGGAAGTTTCTATCTATTCGGTGCCCACTGAGCTAACCTCCCCGGGGCCCAGTTCTGCCCTCCACACTCCCCAGAGTTCCCCCTCAGCAGCTATGAACCCTGCAGGTGCAGGTGACTGGAGAGGGCCAGGACGCACCTCTTAGTAATGGTCACTGGCAGCACTGTTGTCCCTTGAAGTCAGGAGGCCCCAGGGATAGGCCTCTACTCCCTCAAAGGAGTTGGTAGTGACTTGAGTTTATGTACAACCCAGAGCTCCTTCTTCCCCCATGAAGCAGGGGAGGAAGGGCTTTTGAGGTCCACATAAATACGTGTTGAGCCCCCCCGTGCCAGGCGCTGTTCTTAGTGCTGGGGTCCCCTGCAATGAACTCTGCAATCACACCCCACCCGGGGAGAGGTGATGTTCTAGGGAGGGAGACACGATAAGGAGCACAATGGGAGAAAATGACACCCACCAAGTACGAGGGACTTTCAGGGGCAGAGGTGAGGCATCGCTGGCCCCAGGCGGTCCGGAAAGGCCTCTCTGAGCAGGTGACATTTGAGCTGAGGCCCAAATCCACAGTGAGAAGGAACCAGCCATTCATGAGCTGAGGGAAGAGTGTTCAAAGCAGAGGGAACAGCACGCACAAAGCAGAGAGGAGTGGACCAGCCTCGAACGTTAGAGGAGCAAAAGGGGGAGATGAGATGAAAGGGGGACGTGTTGGAGTCAAGGTCAGTGAGCTGGGCAGGGGCCAGGGCATGCAGAGCGGGCTTGGATTTTATTCTGAGAGCAGTGGAAAGCCATTAGAGGGTTTTAAGCAAGAGACTGTCAAGATCTGATTTATGTATCAAAAAGCTCTCTCAGCAAAATAGTTAGCTTTGCAATTTGCCATGATGCGGGGTGGGGCTTCCCTGTGCGCCCAGCTGTCTGGGGGGCCCAGGATCTCTGGCATCCCTCTGGGGAAAGGCCCGCTAGAACCAGGACAGTCGCCATGAGGAGCTGGTCATGAGGGCCCCGGACCCTCACCACAGGGAGTGATTTAGCCCGGACAGCAGTGGACAGCTACCACCCAAGGCCAGTCCTCCTGATCCACCCTGGGCCCTGGCAGTGACCTCCCACAGGCTGGAATGTCCCCAGAGTCAGGTGGGCTGTGCTGCCCCAGGGGGCCGGAGCTGTTGATGTTTATCCCGTCCAGCCCAAGGTAACCGCGGTGGATGGGGCTGCCAGCGGGGCAGGCGGGACTGGTACATCAGAACCTCCACCTGCTCCTCTCGTCCGTGGCATTGAACTGGGACATGCGACATGTTGCTAATAGGGACACCTGGATGTTATCTAGAGGGTTCTGTTCATTAATGGGAGTGGATTGCCCTCCGGCCCTGTAATCGCATCCCTGCCTCTCACTTGCCATCCGAGATGGGCCCTGAGCAGACAAACACCTTGAGACGCTGCCACTCCCCAGTCTGCCTTATCTGGGCTGTTGTCCTGCGGGGCTCGGGGCGCAGGAGCCGGCCCTTGGAATGCTCTCTATAGATGGCACTTATTGCTTTGGCTGGGATTATTCTGATGATTATGAATTACAATCCTTGCAATAGACAGAAGTCCCCCGTGCTGTTAAGAAGACACAGGTGTCGGGCACCTGGGTGGCTCAGTTGGTTAAGCGACTGCCTTCGGCTCAGGTCATGATCCTGGAGTCCCGGGATCGAGTCCCACATCAGGCTCCCTGCTCAGCAGGGAGTCTGCTTCTCCCTCTGACCCTCCTCCCTCTCATGCTCTCTGTCTCTCATTGTCTCTTGCAAATAAATAAAATCTTAAAAAAAAAAAAAAAAAAAAAAGAAGACACAGGTGTCTGGGTTCCAGCCTCAGATTCTGCCCCAGGATCCCAAAGCCGGGGCCTGACCTTTTCCTATAACAAGACAGTGACCAGCTTGTCCTAGTTTCCCCAGGACCTCCCTGGTTTTCACACTGAAAATCCCCCATCCTGGGAAAACCCTCAGTCCCGGGCAAACCAGGACGGTTGGTCACACCATCAAGGAGTCTGCTTGGGAAGTGGAATGGCTCCAAGGTGACCAGAAGGGTTATGCCAAACCATAAACCATGGGGCCAAAAAGAGGTCAGGATGGCTGGCAGGCCCAGCTCGGGGCATGTGGGCCGCTCAGTAGAAGGGCATTGCTGGCTCCTGCAGGGAGAGCTGGCCACCGAGCTGGGGGCAGGGGAAGGAGGCTGCTTGGGACAATGGCTGCATTGTTCCCACCACGGAATCAATCCGCCTTGAGCCCAAGCACCAGAAAGAGAGACACGTGTAAATCGCAGGCCACAAGAGGGAGGAAATTACATTCAGAGGTGCCTCGGTGGCTCCGTCATTAAGCGTCTGCCTTCGGCTCAGGTCATGATCCCGGGGTCCTGGGATCGAGCCCCGCATTGAGCTCCCTGCTCAGTGGGGAGCCTGCTTCTCCCTCTCCCACTCCCCCTGCTTGTGTTCCCTCTCTCGCTTTGTCTCTCTCTGTCAAATAACTAAATAAAATCTTCAAAAAAAGAAAAGAAAATTACATGCAGATGAGCAAGAACGTGTCCTTCCACCTGACCCAGTTTCCTGGCCAGACCCCTTCCCTCCCCAGGCCCGGGTGGAATGCCCGGCTTCCTGGGGAAGCTTTGGAGATCTCTGCAAAGACAAGTCAGCTTCTAGGCCTGAGATCTCTCCCCTGAGCCTCAGCTCAAGTGTAGCCTGAATGCCTGGGAGAGAACTTTTTAATTCTGCAGATCCATCTGGATTTATTTAGCAATTAGGATCTCCTGAGGGTGCACCCTGTTGTTTCTGAGTGAGAAGGACTTCACCTTCTGTGTCAGCTCCTTGGCACATCCAGGGTATCAGTCTGTCTGCCTCATTTCTTGGGCCCATCTAAGGGAAGGTGAGGTGAGGTATTATTTCTTTGCCTTCTGTTCATAAGCCGTTCAACACAAAGGCCATAAGTTTTGCAGAAAGGGACATGCCAACTCATTCACGGGCTCTTGTAATACTGATACCTACAGGTCCCAGCTGTGTTAATGATGGTTACCCATGGTTACTGGGTTTCCCTAAGTTACTGTGTCATTTTATCTTGCAATGACCTTGTGGCCTAGGTGTTATTATCCCCATTTAACAAATGGGTAAACTGAGGCTCAGGAAGGTTAAGTGAATTCCCTGGGGTTTTGCTGCTTGTAAAGCCAGAACGGTATTGGAACCCAGGTCTCTCTGACTCTGGAAGTCATAACCACTAAGGTAACGTGCCCTCAACAAGACGTATAACCAGGGTCCAGTTGAGCACGTTGTCCTTCACGAGGAGCTGTCTGGCGCCCGGGCTTCGGAGGTTCCTCTATTTAATTTGCCAGTTTTAATCATGCACCCTATTTGTACGAGGACTGATCCGCGGGTGACTAGTCATTAACCCTTACCATTGTTTTTGACAGTAAGTACTAAGCCGAGCCTGATTCTGCCCTTCCAGCTCTGCAGGGCATAAAGAAACTCCTTCTGGAACTGCATACTGTCCTCCCTCCATGCCTTTTGGCAATGCAAGTATCTCCTCTCCTCACTGCATCCCACCTCTGCCACCCCAAAGTGCATCTCAAAGTCTCCCTTCCTCTGCTCACATGCTCCCCACCTTGCCTCCCTTTCCCCCCACTCCCCACCCCAGGAACCTGGCCGTAGCTCTCTCCCATGTTACACACTTCCCACATCGGCATTATCTTATCATCGGCTGAGCACTGCTCTCCGACAGAAATATAGCATCTTGACCATTTCTTTTTTTTTTTTTTAAAGATTTTATTTATTTGACAGAGAGAGATACAGCGAGAGAGGGAACAAAAGCAGGGGGAGTGGGAGAGGGAGAAATAGGCTTCCCGTGGAGCAGGGAGCCCGATGTGGGGCTCGATCCCAGGACCCTGGGACCATGACCTGAGCCAAAGGCAGACGCTTAGCGACTGAGCCACCCAGGCGCCCCGCATCTTGACCATTTCTATCCACTACCACCACCACCACCCCAGAGGTTGCCCATGCTGGAAACAGAGTAGTAGTTCTGCTCTGGCCTGAAAATTCTCCCACAGGGAGTGGCGTGGAAGCTATGGGTTCATTAGGTAGACATTTACTAAACACGACCTCTGCAACATTGGCACTAGGTCCGGCCAGGCCTGTCTCTGCCCTCAGGTGACAGTCTCTTGGGGCCAACAACTCAACACTGAGCTCATACCCACTCAGAAGGGCTGTGATGGGCAAGGATGGAGGCTACAGAAGCTCCACACAGAGTTCGTGGCTTGGTCTCTGGGCGTCATTCCCAGAAGGGACCCAAATCAAGGCCTGGAAGGAAAGGAAATATTCCCAGCAGAGGGAACAGCACTGGAAAGAGTTGGGGGACTCCAGTGGGGCAGATACACTGGGGAAACCTGCCTTTCCTCCCAGCCACGAGACGGTACAGCCAGAGACCATGCGCGGGGCTGTATGCCAATGTGGCTTCCGTTATACGGACAGGAATTTGGGGTATAAATGGGCACCTTGGTGTTTTGTGTATGGAAGGGGAGGGGAGCTTGAGTTTCAGAATTGCACATGAATTTGAGCCCCAGCTTGGCCACTTGCTGGCTATACGACCTCAGCAAGCCATTTCTCCTTTTTGAGAATCGATTTCCTCATCTGTAAAGCAGCAACGTAATATCCTTCTTCAACACCACTCGGTGCTCAGTCCTCACCTGCTGTCATTTCACCCGTGCTGTCCCTGGGCGTTAGCCCATTTTATAGACGAGGAAGCCAGAAACTAGAGAGGTGGTCTGGTTTCGCCGTGCCACATGGCGAGCACACAACAGTGCTGGGACGATGACCGGGCCACGGCCCTTCTGGTGGCATTTTCTGCTTGTGCTTTTCTCCCTGTGTCTAGAGGACAGGCTACTCGGCCATCTTGTCCCCTGCCCCACTGACACCCCCCTGGCAGGGGCGGGGGCCTGACATGCACCCTTCTCCCTCCAGACCCATTTTTCGGCCAGCGTTACATCCACATCCTGGGCCGGCGGAAGCTCTACCACGTGGTCAAGTACACGGGCGGCTCCGCGGAGCTGTTGTTTTTTGTCGAAGGCCTGCGTTTTCCCGACGAGGGCTTCCCAGGCCTGGTCTCCATCCACGTCAGCCTGCTGGAGTACATGGCCAAGGTGAGGGCTCCCAGGCCTTCCAGAGGGCCACTCCCAGGGGTCCCCACAATGCTCCACTCCCCTCAAAGCATGGGGGGGAGGCCAAGATTGGAGATCCAGCTGCTCCACATCAACCACCCGCACCTGTCTGCCAGGCTCCTCTGGGCTATGCTCTAGGGATCCTCCTGTTTGCTGCACCTACTCCCCAGGATTCCCTGCGGGTAAGGTTTTCTGGCATCCCCACATCTGTGCCCTGGTCTGCCCTCCTCCCTGCAGCAGTGTGGGCCTAGTTCTGAGGCACAGATCCCCAGTGGTTAGTGCAGGGAGCAAACTAGGCCACACACGTGAGATTTATCGACTACTTATATGCCCTGCTTTTCCCTCCCCGGACGGACCCTTTACCCTAACTGCGGGTTATACCAACTCTGACCGCAGACTGAACCCCAAATCCCAGGCCCAAGTCATGCCCCCAGCCCTACGGCCAGACATCTCACTCACCATTCTTCTTGGTTTGGGAAACTGGACAGGAAGGAGAGCGCCTGCCCCTCTAGAGGAGAAGCCCCCCTCACTTAGAGTGTGTCCTGCTGACAAGGACCTCTCGTCACAAAGACTGCAGCCCCAGACTCCCACCTCTCGAGCCCACCCCGCTTTGCTCAGATATAGGGAGAGACCTGGCTGCCCTCCCCAACACAGGGTCCCCTCCCCATTGTCATTTTCAGAGTACTTTGGAGGCAGGACACAGTGGGGTCCGCAGAAGGTGAGGCTGAATCTGGCTTAGATTTATGAGAACAGGCTCTGGAGTCAGACTGCCAAGTTTCAAGCCCAGGAGACATTGGGCAGGTGAATTTACGCCCTGTGCCTCAGTTTCCCCATCTGTAAGACAAACAGCAGAAGTTTCTGCTTTCTGCGGCGGTTGTGAGCATCCAAACTTGTAAGACCTCATTCACAAAGAGCCCTCGAGTCCCTCAGAAGAAGAGAGGCAGAAAAGGCAGGACGGGACAGGGGGAGGGTTTCTGCTCCCACCTGTGCCTGGAGTAGCCTGGCCATCAGGGCCTCAGACTTGCCCCTCCAGCAGGCACCAACAGAGACTCACAAAGCAGACCCAGGCAGGAAAGGCCAGCTAGGCCCCTAGGCCTGCCTGCCCCCATGGTCTCCGCCAAGGGCAGGTGCCCATTTCCTGTAGCTGTTCAAAGCCAACTACACAAAGGAGCCCCGGAATCCACTCATTTTCCCTCAGGTTCCAGGCAAGCTTCCTGAACCTTTCCTTAAAGAACAATCTGGACATAGCAAAATTGCCCCAAGCAACATTAAAATGCTCACCTGTAGAAAAGGGCAAGGTGCCCAAAGCAGAGACAGAAGAAGGTGCAGGGCTGGCCCGGCCATCTTGCAGGCCAGTTTCAGGAAGAGGACTTTGATGGGGCAAGATCCGATAGTGGTTAAGAGTAGGGGCAGCCGCCTGACCACCTGGGTTTAAATCCAGGCTCTGCCCCTTACTAACCCCGTGAAACAGGTCTGTGGCTAGAGGTCTGTGACTCAGTTTCCCTACCTGTAAAACACGGGTTATAATACTATCTACCCCCTGGGGTTGCTGTAAAGCAGAAATGAAATGGCACGTGTGGTGCTACCCCAAGGCCTAGCATACCACAAGCACTCAATAAATGTAGTATGGTTATCGCTTTCACCCACTTTAGAAAGCAGGCATGACAGGTACCCTGACCAGACTTTCTGATCCCCTCCCCTCTCCCACGCTCAGGAGATTCCCCTGACACCCATCTTCACGGACACCGTGATATTCCGGATTGCTCCGTGGATCATGACCCCCAACATCTTGCCTCCCCTGTCGGTGTTCGTGTGCTGGTAAGCAATGGCCAGGGCTCAGGGAGGCAGCGCAGCAGAGTGGTTAAAGCTGGGGCTTCAGGGGCAGACAGACCTGAGTTCAGAGCCTGGCTCTGTCACTTACCACCTGTGTGACCTTGAGCAACTCACTTGACCTCTCTGTGCCTCTGTTTCTCTGAAATGCTGACATCACAGAGTCACCGTGGGCATTAAATGAAGCAGGCAAAGTATTAATCCAAGGTCCTGGCACAGTTTGTGCTTTAAAAATACCAGCTATCATTCCTGGGCGCCTGGGTGGCTCAGTCGTTAAGCATCTGCCTTCGGCTCAGGTCATGATCCCAGGGTCCTGGGATCGAGCCCCACATCGGGCTCCCTGCTCGGCAGGAAGCCTGTTTCTCCCTCTCCCACTCCCCCTGCTTGTGTTCCTGCTCTTGCTATCTCTCTCTCTCTCTCTGTCAATTAAATAAATAAATAAAATCTTTTTAAAAAATAGCTATCATTCCTTTTCTCATTCTTGGCCCGCACCATCTGGTTGGGAACCTCCCCTATGCAATGGATGTTCAGCTCATCTTATGCAGCTTTTCTTTTCTTTTCTTTTCTTTTCTTTTCTTTTTTTTTTTTTTGAGCACCTATTATGTGCTAGACAGCTGCAGCAAGATGAGAAACAAGGGAAAGGAGTCCCTGCAGATGGATGCTGGCCATGACAAGTGGGACCCTGAGGCCCTGGGCCAATCCCCTGCCTCGGGATTAGACACAGCTCTCCAAAAATCTGGGTGGGTGTGGGGAAGAGTCTCCCTTCTTGTTTTATGTGTCCGTGACCTTGGCAAACACCATGAGTGGAGGAGCTTGCTTGGCCTTGGCTCCAGCAGCCTTCACAAAGGTGACTATGAACACATTTGTGGCCTCATCTGCCCAGCACAACCCAGAGGTGAAAGCTGCTTGTTGCCGCCTCAGTTGGACTGGCCCTCGTCCCTCCTCACCCTTCCTCCTGTCCTCCCTCTCTTCCCCGAAATTCTCAGCATGAAGGACAATTACTTGTTCCTGAAAGAGGTGAAGAACCTGGTTGAGAAAACCAACTGTGAACTGAAGGTCTGCTTCCAGTATGTAAACCGAGGTGACCGCTGGATCCAGGTGAGGCACTGTGGGCTGGGAGGGATGTGGCCCATGCCTCAGGCAAGAAGAGCTGGCTTAACATCAGTGCCCTGGCACCCAGCAGCTCCATGTATGGGAATTCTGCTGTCAGCTCATACATGTACATGTGCACAGAGACAAATGTATAAGGCAACTCACTGCAGCATTGCTTCTTGAAGTAGCAAAAGACTGTCCCTCAGGAGAGACTGAGTAACCATATGAGGGGATAGCCTTACCATGGAGTACTATACAACAGCTAAAAAGAAGCCAACCTGGGGCGCCTGGGTGGCTCAGTCGTTAAGTGTCTGCCTTTGGCTCAGGTCATGATCCCAGGGTCCTGGGATCGAGCCCCGCATTGGGCTCCCTGCTCAGCGGGGAGCCTGCTTCTCCCTCTCCCGCTCCCCCTGCTTGTGTTCCCTCTCTCGCTGTGTCTCTCTGTGTCAAATAAATAAATAAAATCTTTAAAAAAAAAAAAAGAAGAAGAAGCCGACCTAAAAATACAGAATGCACTTCAAATTAAGGTGTCACTTGCAGGAAATTGTACATAGGATGTTATTGATTATGTTTTAAGAAATGGGGTTGATAGAAGTACAAACATGCTTAGAGCATGCAGAGACTATTTGAAGAAGGCTATGTAAGAAGCCCCTGCCATCGCTTGCTAGTGAGGAGAACTAGGGAGGCTGGCTCGTCTGACGGCTCTCCTTGGTGTCCCCACAGGATGAGGTTGAGTTTGGCTACATAGAGGCCCCCCACAAAGGCTTCCCCGTGGTACTGGACTCCCCCCGAGATGGAAACCTGAAGGACTTCCCGGTGAAGCAGCTTCTGGTGAGATGCTGAGGGCCACCTTGGGGTGGGGGGTGAGGGAACGATCCTGGGGACTCTTACAGGATAGAGTGGACAGGAGACCTGGGGGCACCCTTGACAAGTTAGTCTGTTGCCCAGAGCCTCCATCTTCTCATCTGCCGAATAGGTCAGTTGGGATAGTGACCTCCGTGGTCCTTTCCTTGGAGACCCTTCTCATAGGAAAGTGTGACCACTACCCCAGGGCCTGGCATACCACAAGTGCTCAATAAATGCACTGTTGTTATCAGTATCACCCACTTTGAAAGGCAGGAGTGAAAAGCACCCTGACAAGACTTCTCGATCCCTTGGATAAAAAAATTTACTCATAGGAGAGTTTTCTCGTAGGAAATGGGAACTATGGGAAAGAGGCAGCTCCTGCCCCTGCCCCACCCCCAACTTGCAGAAAAATCAGTTTCAAAGAGGAAAATTATAGTTAAGCAATTGTCGAAAATCGTGGTTCCAACTTCAAAGCTCACTGAAGCTGTGGTTTTCAGTCTGTGTGTGTTTTTGAAAGCAATCTGACCCCCTGATTCTAGAAGCCATTACCACTCCCACTGATGCCCGTAACCACTGGTGCAGTGAGGGCAGAACCCAAACCTGCCTCTTTTATCCTCACCTTCCACCTTGAACAGGCAGGGGAGGCTCAGACAGAGCACAAAGCAGAGACTGGGATAGACTGGGATAGGTCAGGGGCTTTTCCCAAGGTCACGTGCAGGGCAGCCTCTGCTTGAGTTGGAGACATTCATAGGCTCACATCTACTTCCTGAGAACCTTCCCTAACCTAGAGCCCTCACCACAGGGAGACGGTGGTAGAGCCTGGCCTTGCATCTTGTTCCACCCCTTGACCTTGGGCAAGCCACTTAACCTCTTCAAGCCTCAGTTTGCTCATCTGTAAATGGGGCTGGAAATGGTATTCCACTCGCAGGATCATTGTGAAGATTGAAGGCACCTAGAAGACGTCCTGCTGCACCTAATACAATGATCACTATTAGCCACTATTACGGTTGTCATTCCACAGCCCTGGACGTTGTCCTAGGTGAGGACTGTCCGCGTCTTCCCACACTGTGAAGGGTAGAGTCAAACTGGCCTCCAGCAGCGGTTGCCGCAGGCCTGAGAACCGAGGCCTCCCAGCTCCTGTTCTCACGTTCTTCCCAGGTCACTACCTGCCTTCAGTGTTCCAGGCTGGCCTGGTGCCAAGGTCCCGGGCTGCATTGTTCCTGGGGGCCTGGGCCAGGCCCGACTTTGTGCTGCGTGCCTGCCCGCCTGCGTGATGCCTGAAAGCCCAGCTGCCCCAGCCTCCAGCAAATCACACCTTGCCATCTGGGGCTCCCGGGCGAGAACGCGCTAGGCTGTGGCCATCCATGTCACTGGGCACGGCTATCCCTTGAGTCTCTCCACTGGGCCAGAATAAGCCACATCTTCCCACCTCAGGGGATTTTTTAACAAGAATTTTTGTCAGACAAGCTTAGTTCCAGCCCCAGTGCAAGTTCCCAAGCAAGCACCCTACTTTTTCACCCAAAAATCCTGAAAGGAACCTTAAAATTCAAAGGTCCCTGGGGTTATATTGTGTGCCAACTCTAGTTTTTTGGAGCTCTGTTCTAAGAAGGATTCTGAGGCTCTCTGTGGACTCAGTGAACAAATACGGGTGGTTGGGAATGGGTTGGGATGCTCTATATGTTACGTATCCGCCATTCCTGCATGTATTGGTCAGCTTTTACTAGGTGCAGCTGCAGTAACAAACAACCCCCAAAACTTAGTGGCTGACAACAACGAAGGTCCATTTCTCACTTGCACTCCGTGTTGCCGGTTGGTCGGTTGTCTGCGGCCCTGGTTCCTCGTGCCTTCCCCATTCTAGAGCCCAGGCTGCAGGAACAGCCCCAGCCTGGGAAATGCCATTCTCCTAGCACAAGGAGAAGAGAACACTTTGGCAGACACACACAGAGGATCTTATGCGTCACTTCTGCTCACATTTCACTGGCCAAAGCTAGTCACATGACCGAGTCCAACACTGGGTGGGGAATTCTATTCCTTCCACTGGGAGATGCCACACACCAGCAATGGCTCAGGATGCAAAATCCTCTTCCTGTGAAGAGGGCAGCAAGTCTCTGGGAACAAGGATACAATCTACCGCCCTCCCCTGGCACCGTATCCAACACCTCCGTTACAGATGGGGAAACTGAGGGTCAGATAAATAAAGAGATGAGCAGGGGTGTCAACAGCACAGAATGAGAACTAGCCCTGAAGTCATCAAAATGTCTCTGTGTCTAGAAGCAGAGGTACATGCAAAGACCCAGTGCACACACACACACTAATCCACACTTATATACTGTCATGTAGGCCCACCCTCACACCAACCTGCCCACAAACTCAGCCTCCCCGTGCCTTGCCCCTTGCTCTTCAATGGGAATAAGAAGACCCCCTAGAAACCAAGTGCCCACAGGGCCAGACCGAAGGTGGTGAAAGAGTAGTCATCAACGGGTGGCTGACCCGGGGCTAAGGACCTCTGGCTACAGGAGACTAATGATGGGTGTGTGCCCTCTTCCCAGGGCCCAGATTTTGGCTACGTGACCCGGGAGCCCCTCTTTGAGCCTGTCACCAGCCTTGATTCCTTTGGGAACCTGGAGGTCAGTCCACCAGTGACTGTGAACGGCAAGACATACCCGCTGGGCCGGATCCTCATCGGGAGCAGCTTTCCTCTGTAAGAGAGGCCAGGGTGGGGCTGGGGAGAGTGGGGGTGGGGAAGTTACTCTTTCTCTTTAGGAATGGCCTGGGTTGCTCACACATGGAGTGACTGGCTGGGAAAATGAACCCCTTCTGTGACTCCGAAAAGATACAGACACTCTTAGAAATAAAACCAAGTTAGCCTTTATATCTTAGTATGACTTAGGATCTAATATAAAACTAAATAAATAGCTCTTCCCAAAATGGGAGGGTATATAATGAGATTTAAACCAAGTAGGGAAGGGAGGAAGGAATCCATAGAAGTAACCGAAAGAGGCTGAGTGGGAAGGTACCATCAAGTCCTTGGGGTGACCCATACACAAAAGAGGGCTGAGAAGACATGGCCCTGCCCCTAAGCATGAGTCCCTGGCTCCCTGGCCTGTCCACAACACCATCACTCCCTCCCCAGGTGACCCTCTTCCCAATGAAAAGGCAGATTCTTCCTTGGTCAGGACAGTCACTGAAAGAGTGAGTACTGCGGGTCCTCATTTCACAAAAGGGCTGCCAGCAACCTGCATACATGAGATCAGCCAGGATTTGGGCACCAAGTCCCTCTGAGCCACATGGGATGCTCTACCTTCTGGGGGGAGGCCACTAGCCAGGCAGTGCCCGTTTGCCCACCCCCTCTCCTCCCTCTCCACTCAATAGCCACTCATCCATTCATCAGGTATTTCCCATGCCCCAGCCAAGTGCCAAGCCCAGTGCCAGCCATGGCATTCTAAACCTGAAACCCAGCCCCCGCCTTCAGGGAGACAGTGGAGATCACAGACATGAAACAGCAGGGAGTGGGGAGGGAGGATCATATACAGTGATAGAAAGAATGATAGGAAACCCGAAGAGGGGTCCTTAACCCCTTTGGGGAGGCCAGGGAGGGCTCCTTGGAGATAAATATTTATTGAGGGCCTTCTCTCTGCCAGGCACTGTTCTAGGCTCTAGGGATACATCAGTGAGCCAAGCAGACAAAGACCCAGCTCTTGGGAAATTTTCAATTAAGGTGGGAGGAGTACAGGAAATCAACATGGAAGCCAGCAAATGAGACCTTTCTGGATGCTAATAAGTTGCAATGAAGAAGGTAAAATAGGGTTACATGGTAAAGAATGATGGGGCAGGTGCACTTCAGCTTTTGTGGTTTTAAGGAAATGACTTGGGAATCGAGGCTTGAATGAGAAGGGAGCAGCCATGGAAGATCAGAGGGAAAGAGCATTTCAAATAGAAGGAACAGGGAGGGCAAAGCCTTGAGGAGCTAGCAAACTTAGGAAGTAGAACAAAGAGGAAGGGAGGGAGAGGAGGTAGCAGATCCAGGCAGGGGCCAAATCAGAGAGGAATTTCTTGGCCACTGGGAGGCCCTTGAGTAATAGTCTAAGGGTACTAGGGATCAAAGACCTCAGAGAGTCTAAAATTTAGGAAGGGCTTCCTGGAGGAGGTGTTGCTTGAACTGATTAAAGATGGAAGTTAAGTAGAAGTTAATGTAACAAAGAGGCACATGGGCTAGGGCAGATTTTGGAACCATGCCTGTGCCTTAGCCCCCTCCAGCAGTCCAGCAGGACCCCTGAGCACAGAAGCTGGTCTCTTTATATCCACTGACACCCTCAGGAGCTGAAAGAGCTGAAGGCTGGGCTCCATGGCCTTCGTAGAGGCCATGGCTCCAGCTAACGCCTCCTTCTTTCCCCTTGGGCTCAAATGCCTTCCTGCAGTACCAGGGTCTCTCAGCCCTGTGGTTCAGGCTCCTTCTCGTGACTTTTGCTGATGCCACCCTGGGTACAGGCTGGGTTGCAGAGGCTGAGCTCCTGTAGGCCCTCTGGTGAGGCAGGCACAGCGGGAAAGCATCTGAAGAGCTGCCTCCTCTCCACCCCTGCGCCAGGTCCGGCGGTCGGAGGATGACTAAGGTGGTGTGGGACTTCCTGCAGGCCCAGCAGGTGCAGGCGCCTGTGGAGCTCTACTCGGATTGGCTGACCGTGGGCCACGTGGACGAGTTCATGACCTTCGTCCCCATCCCGGGCACAAAGGTGAGCTGGCCCCCGAGGCTAGAGTGAATAGGATGATGGAGAACCCAGGTACTACCAGCTCTTGTCAGCAGGGGGCAGGTTCTACAGGGAGTGGACTGCACAGAGGAAGAAGGAAGTAGGCTCAAGTTGGTTTGCCTGTTGTCGCTGTGGCGGGTGAATTTTTAACCCAATATACCAAAATATTAGCATTTCAACATGTAATCAATGTAAAAATATAAATGAGAAATTTTATGTTCTTTGATTCATACCAAGTCTTCAAAATCCGGTGTGCATTTTACTCTTAACCGCACATCTCAATTCAGATTAGCCCCAATTCAAGAGTCCAGTAATCACGGGGCTAGCGGCTACTGGATTTGCCGTGATGCTCTAGAGAGCTCTGGGGTATAGGTCTGGGGCTTTTTCACTTTCTGAAGTGAAAGGAATGGCTGCAACTTCATACCCTAGAAATGTCGCGCAAATGGCCCATCCTCTTGGCCACTGGGAGATGCGCTTCCACCCTGTCCAAAGCCATTTTGGACTCTGAGCTTTGACGCGATGACATTGCTGAGGTGAAGGAATTTCTATAGCAGGAAGGGTGAGAAATACTCCCCCGAAACAGAGAAAACTCTGCCAGGCCGCCTTTGCCCCTCGGCATGGGGAGACCTGAGGCAACAGGCAGACAGGGCTCCGAGTCCCCAGGGACTCCCTCGTGCTCCCTGGCCTCTTCCCCTCTGCTGACACTGTCCCTCTGGACATCCTCTTGCAGGAATTCCGGATGCTCATGGCCAGTACCTCAGCCTGCTACAAGCTCTTTCGAGAGAAGCAGAGGGAGGGCCACGGGGAGGCCATCATGTTCAAAGGTGAGTGCCCACGGAACCTTGGCAGGGAGTGGGGAGCTGAGCCCCCAGAGAGATGCTCAGGAGGATGGGGCAGGTGATCGCTTTGCCCCTGGGCATCCAGCTCCCCTTCCCTGGGCGTCTGGCCTGCTCCAGGCTGTGAGGTCACCATGGTGGGAAGGAGCCCTGGCCTCTAGTGACCCTCGCTGTGGTCAGCCGGACCATCGAGCCACCCACTGCTCCTTATTATCATCAGCAGTGCCAAATGCTTCTTCAGGCCCTGGCGTCTACTTTAAATGGCACCAGGCCCAAAAGAGACTTAACTGACATGCGATCTGCATACAAGGAGCTTGAAAAGGAGATAGAGAAAAACATACACAACCCAATTTAGGGACAGGAAGAAAAGTGGGAGTAGATAGACATGATCTAGAGTCAGACAGTGATGACTGTCAGTCCCAGAGGGAGAAATTACCTGCTTCATGTAGACATTCCCTTAACTGGGATGGATGTTGACCAGGATTAGCTGTGCTCTTAAATTAATCATGGAAAGAGGGAAAGCTGATCAGGTGGAGACAGCCAGGTTAGAGAGGCCGTGACAATTTCTTCCTTACATGTTTTTCTTACATTACTCTGTGTCACTTTTGAGGTTGGTATCCCCAATCTGCCTACTCCCAAAAGTCGCGTTATTAGGGCTGGTTAATACTTACATACATCACTGCCCGCCAGATCCAAAGGCAGTGTTCCTGATAGTGACTGGTATCTAGAGCAGACAAGGCCAGTTTAAGCCCTCTGTCCTTTTTTGATTCCCCACCAATGGGAAATTTTTTCCTTGGATTGGCAGGCACGAGTCTGGATTTTCTGGAGGCTTCTTTATATACTAATCATACCCTAAAGCTACCCATAGGATATAGAAACCATTATCTTTGTACAGATGGGTCCAAGTGGGGTGTGGAGATGGTGCCGGAACAGGGCATGACAGCCCCAATCTCTTTGCCACGGACAAGCTACAAGACTGGGAAGTGCAACGGACCAGCAAACTCTTCTCAGATGAGGCAAAATAGAAGAAGGAGAAGGAGGAGGAGAAGAAGAAAGAAGAAGAAGAGGAAGGAGAAGAAGAAGAAGGGGGAGGAAGAGGAAGAGGGGGAGGGGGAGAAGAAAGAAGAGGAAAGAGAAGGGGAAGAAGAAGAAAGAGGAGCAAGAGGAGGGGAAGGAGAAGGAGGAGAAGGGGAGGAGGAAGAGGAAGAAGAAGAAGAATTATTATTAATAGCTTAGGCTCTGAAATCAGACTGTCTGGTCTGCATGCGGGCTCTGCCACCAGCTATGAGACCTTGGACAAGTCATTTACCTTCTCTGTGCCTCCGTTTCCCCATCTTTAATGCTAGCAGGCACCTCATAGAAATGCAGGAAAGATTCCTGAGTTAATCCCTCTAAAACATCTAGAAGGGTGCCTGTCACACAGTAGGTGCTCAATGAGTGTTAGGTATCACTAATCGAACCAAAATCTACGTGCGAACTAGGAGGTGGGTGCAGGCAGTGTGACCAGGGCAGGGGCCGAGCATGAGGCAGGTCTGGAAAACAGAAGGGTGACCTCTGGGTACCTGCTTTCGCCACCCTCACCTGGTCAGCTGCTTACCCTTAGAAGTAGGCTCCAGGTGGGAGACCCAGGTACCTACTTGTGCCACCCCCACCCTCTGGCCAGAAAGAGAGCAAGGCACCACCCCTTCGTCCCTGGTCCAAGCAACATGGTCACGCTGGCAGAGGGGCCTGGGTTCCCAGGGGCTCCCCTCCTGTGTCCCAGCCTGTCCCAGCTCCATCTCCCTCCTCCCAGCAGTTAGCCCAAAAGCTGGGGGGGTGGCTGTTGATAGAGGGGAGCACCCAGGCTGAGTACCTGAGGCCAGACTGTCCCTTATGATGTCTGACTTCTACAGGCTTGGGCGGGATGAGCAGCAAGAGAATCACCATCAACAAGATTCTATCCAATGAGAGCCTCATGCAAGAGAACCAGTACTTCCAGGTGAGGGCGGAGCGGGGGGCCCTGGGAGGGAAGGGTTTGTGCCCAGTGACACCGATCACATCCTCACGGCTTCCAGAGGGAAGGACCAACGGCACATGTCAGAGGGAAGGGCCTCCATGAGCATTTGGTCCAGCCTCCCTGCATTGCTCCTGTGCTAAAGCCAGAAGCTAAATGGAGGGACAAAGGCAGGCATGCGGGTCAGCAGAGGCCAGAAGCAGACAGGAAACCAGGGAAGGAGAGCATATCAGGCAGTGTCAAAGAGCCAAGAGCTCTGTGAGTCTAGAGCCCATGACATCTGGGGCCCTTTGAAATATGATGCAGGAGCGCCTGAGTGGCTGAGTCGGTTAAGCATCCAACTCTTGATTTCAGCTCAGGTCAGGGTCATGATTTCAAGCCCCATATGGGGCTCCATGCCCAGCATGGAGTCTACTTAAAAAACAAATTAACTAAAAAATAGATAAATAAAATATGACGCAAGCTCCAGACTGCCCTCTAGAAAAATGCAAGTGTCAATATACGCCCTGGATTTTTATGTATTTTAGGGGATCAGAGTTCCCGGAAGTTTACCATGAATGGATCCCACCTTCTGAGTCCCCGCCTCACTTCTATCTAAAAGCATGATTTCTGTGATCTTCTGTCTTCTCTCTCTGTTACCACTGTCACCGGGCCCTGGTGGGAGGGGCACTGGAGAGGTGGCAAGGGGGCTAGGTGAGCCCTAGAACTCTCCCTGAAGTGCTAGGGCCCAGGGTCTGCTACTGCAAACAGGAGCAGGGTTGACAAAGTGGCAGGAGTGTCCCCTCACTTGCCTGCCCTCCCTTTTCTCCCCTCACCCAGCGTTGCCTGGACTGGAACCGTGACATCCTCAAGAAGGAGCTGGGGCTGACGGAGCAGGACATCATTGATCTGCCCGCTCTGTTCAAGATGGATGAGAACCGCCAGGCCAGAGCCTACTTCCCAAACATGGTGAGGCACTCTGGGCCCCAAACCTCATCGAGGCTGATCAGGGGCAGCCAGATCCAGAAGGACCCCTCAGCTGAGGCTGTTCCCTCAGGAGGTCCTGGTCCCTGTCCTGGCTGAGCCGCTCTGTGGCCTCTCCCACCCACCCCAGGCCCTTCACCCTTCTGGGCTGCATTCCCTCCTAGGGGTGAGATGCTCATCCTAGCTGCCTCCCTGGGGTTCTGGGAAATCCTTTCCCTTAACAGATAGGAAAGTACCTTCTAGTTAAAAAAGGCCTTTACGGACAGGAGGGATGCTTGTTGTCGTAGAGGAGAATATTCTGTGAGACGGAGGGAGGTTATAACACACACACTGATCCACACTTGCACGCACACGCCCATTCATACACATATAACCACGTGCAAGTACTGTACACACAGATGCATGCCGAGGTAGGTCCCCTGGTTTTCCACTTCAGCTCTGCCATGTATGAGCTGCTTTGCCCCCTCCGTGCCTCGGTTTCCTCATCTGTAAAATGGGGATGATCGCAACACCTACGTCATAGGGGAGTTAGGAATGCCCAAGAGCTTAGAACAGGGCCCGGCGAGTAGTAGGTGCTCATTAAATGGGAGCTGTTGCCTCACCCCCATCATAGGTGAACATGATCGTGCTTGACAAGGACCTGGGCATCCCTAAGCCGTTCGGGCCCCAAGTGGAGGAGGTGTGCTATCTGGAGATGCACGTGCGCTCCCTGCTGGAGCCCCTGGGCCTCTGTTGCACCTTCGTGGATGACATCTCCGCCTACCACAAGTTTCTGGGGGAGGTGCACTGCGGCACCAATGTCCGCAGGAAGCCCTTCTCCTTCAAGTGGTGGCACATGGTGCCCTGAGCTGCGGGGGGGCTGTGCTGTGCGGGTCTCAGCCTGTCGCTAGCCAAGATTGTGGCGGGACCGGCCCTCGTGGTTCTTAGGATTGCAAGACGCCCTTCAGCAATAATGGTCAGGAAACTTGGGGTGGGGGGGGAAGGATGATTATTTCCAGGACCTGGAAATTTTGCGGCATACCTGGGGCCACACAGCAAAGTCGCAGGGAGAGAGAGATGGCACAGGCCTGGGGTTCTGCTTTTTGGGGGGTCGAGGGTGGGGGCTGGGGCTTTTGTGGGCTCCTTCTTTATTGGTGAACTTAAAACATAAAAGCAGGAATGTAAAACTCGGGGACGAGGAAAATCAAGGGGCCCAAATGGTCAGCTTTAGAAACCAGCCAAGATTTCTAAAACAAAGGAGCCTGGGGGAGGAGGAAGCCTGGACTTTTATCTAGTCCTGTGGCTGGCAACGAGCTTATTGGAGACAGCTTGCTTTAAAGTGGATACCTCAGGGGATCAAAGCCCAAGTCAGGCACTTGCATTACCAAGAAGAGAAAACACAACTGTCTGGCTTTGGGCTGACACGACAGGGGCCCTGGCACGTCTCTCCTTTCTCCAGACCCCTGGCACCAACCCCTTCCCCCACCAAGAGCTTCCCCCTGCCTGGGAAGGACATGACAAGGCCTGGACTGTCCCCCCTCCCCACCGGAGGCCTCCGGGAAGGGGGTAGGGATTTGGGATATCTGTACTTTGCCATCTCTCAGAAGGGCCCCAGCATCCACCAAAGTCACCCCTGATGAGTCTCAACTCGGTCCTTCCTGAAAACAGCTGTGCATTTGGCTGGCATCTGTATAGCCCTGACATGAAAAACAAAGAAACAAAAACTCTGTACCCAAACCATTCCCCCAAAGAGTCCTTAGTCCCTTGTCCACAAGTGAAGGAAGGGAGAAGGGAAGAAGGTTCTGGAGGCTCTGGGATCGCCAGCTCTGGCAACCGTGCCCTGAAGGTCAAGGTAGATCCCACGGAAAGGGACCCTGGGGCCCCAGACGTACCTTGAACTGCTGTCATCATTTCAAATTCAGCTCCCTTGGGGTGTGCAGGTGGCTGCCTCCAATTATTCATTCCTTCCCGGCCTCTCTCAGATCCCCTTGGCTTTCTCTCTGCAGTGTAGACATCACTGACTAGCTTCCCCATTCCCTGAGGGTCCAATAATTTAGCTTAGAACCTTCCCCAGAAGTGGATTTTATCAGACCTCTCCATTTCCAAGATGCTCCTTATACCTCATCTTTCTGATGGACACAGGCTCTCCCAAATGCTTGGGGGGGGGGCCCCCCCAGACCAGCGTCCTTGTACCTGAGAGCGCCGTGGGTGTAGATGCCCGGGCTCAGCCATATCCTTCTCCTGCCTGGTTCTCCATTCCCTGGGCAGTCCCTGGCCCCCCTCCTCGCATGCCTCCACTTCCTATTCCTGATGCCATCCCTCTAAGCAGCTAGATGGGAACTTTTTCACCATCAGCCAGGCTCAGACCTGCCCCCAGGATATGATTAAAGACCCACCTCTTCTCCCCAGACCTTAGACCCAACATCTAAGGACCTGGCCTGGCCCCCAGCCCAACAGCCAGTTCTGGACCAGCCGGTGGCCTTAGACACAGACTGTCTCTCCCATGGAAGTTCACCGGCGCATTTGCTGAACACCCTCTCATTTACATAACTAGATTAATTCCCTGGCTCCAACCCAAAAGACTCGGTTTCAACTTAAAAAAATTTCCTTGAGGGCCAGCTGATGTCAGGAGAATAAGTGAATTATAATTCCATTTTGCAGGCTAAAAAGAACCAGTTTATAGCCAATGAGAGGGTTATAAATTTGTATTCTTGGGAGAACAGGATTTCCTTCTTGGGTTATTTCATTCACGCGTTCAGCAAACATTTGTTGTGTGCCTACTAAGCGCCAGGCACAGTGCTGGCTTCTGAGGTGTATGGTGGTCAGTAGCACACTGGGCCTGGTCCCTGCCTCCTGGAGCCGGTCAGTTCTCAACATGCACTGTCCGCATCTAAATGGCCAGCATTTGTCCTTTTAGTGATGTGCTCTTTAGAAGCGGCAACTCTCTATATTCAGGAAATGCCCAGAGCACAGATCTTCCTGCAAATCAGTATTTTGGATGAAGGTGGAGGGTTCTTTTTCAACCAGGCCTCCTTTCCCACCCACCTGGGCCAGTACCATCCGACAGATCAGACCCCAGAGTCTTCAGAAGCTGTCGTGCCCCTGACTTTGGGGGCCAAAGCCCCAGATCTCTGCAACCCCAGAGCTGAAAACACCAAGTGCCTATTTGAAAGTGTTCATCTGGAGACTTAGAGTTTGTCGTGTGTGTGTGTGTGTGTGTGTGTGTATTAAGTTAATGTGGGGGTTTGGGGTTTTCTTTCATTTTTTTTCTACTCCACCTTAAGAGGAAGTGAGCACCTCCCATGTGGAGATGGTGTGTGTTTATAGATTTTTCTAAAACTCTCCCCATCGGTAAGTTGATAATTTCTGATGATTCTGGAGTGTCCAGGACTCAGACTCATATTTCCGTCTTGCTTGCCCACCCTGCCTCGTGTGACTACCCTCAGCGTGTGCACCTCCCCCAATCCCCATGGACTCATCGCTCTTCCCCACCCCCCACTTTCTATAAATATAGGCCTAGGATACAGTTCTGTGTTGCAAAACTCAACTAAGTTCCTGTTTCGATCTTTATTTTGAAATATTTTGTGTAAGAGGGAAGGGGGGTATGCCATGAAGATGGCAAGAAGCAGGGCACAGTTTCAACTTTCTGGATGAGAGACCATGATGGAGATCAAAAGATGTTTGGGGGGGCGCCTGGGTGGCTCAGTCGTTAAGCGTCTGCCTTCGGCTCAGGTCATGATCCCAGGGTCCTGGGATCGAGCCCCACGTCTGGCTCCCTGCTCTGCGGGAAGCCTGCTTCTCTCTCTCCCACTCCCCCTGCTTGTGTTCCCTCTCTCGCTGTGTCTCTCTGTCAAATAAATAAATAAAATCTTTAAGAAAGAAAAAAAAAGATGTTTGGGGAAGAGACTAATTAAATAGCAATAAAATAAACCATCAGAGGGGAAGTCATGTGTTGTGATGTTTGTTGTTGCCTCATCAACACAGCCTGGAGTGAAGCAGGCCAGACAGAGGCACTGTTCTGGTCTTGTAACGCCTGCTCTTCTGGGCACAAGGTCAGGGCTAAAGGTATCTCAAGAGTTTGGAATCCCCCACACATTCAATGGATGTGTATCACATGGCCACCACCCAAGGTCAAGACCAATACACACAATAAAGTCTGGCTGTGTTTTTCTGGTGGTGTTCCCCAGAAGCAGACCCTGAAATGAGCAATTGAGAACAGTGATTTATTTTTTATTAAGTGAAGGGTACAGGACAGGGAAAGGGAAGAAGCCGAACGAGAATGTGACTTGAGGTGTAGCCTCAGCCTGATCCCTGGAGAGCTCTGGAGCATAAGTGCAGCTCAGAATTGTCCCACCTGGAGGCAGAGTTTTGTACACCTGCACCAGCCAGTCATTGGCTATGGGGACTTTGGCTCTCTGAATGGGTAAGGTGGCAGCAGTAGCCCATGAGCAATCATCTAAAGAGGATCACAGCTGCAGTTAGCAGCAAAATCACAGGAGCTGGGGAGTGGGCTCACAACCAGAAGAGGATCTGGTAGGGCACCAACAGTGTCCACTGCTCTGGATCACATCATGTTCTTATAATATGGAATTGTTACATGTGGACATTTGTGATTTGACCCATGGTATAAAAATCCATACTACATAGCCATGGTCTAAGCGGGTCTTTGTGAACAAACTCTCTGAAGCCCAAAAATAAAGCCACCTAGTTGCTTGATGAGCCTGGAAGCCACTCCTCAGCTCTTTGGAATGGACCTGGGGGCTTCTTGCCCCTCAGCCCCATCTTGGACTTCTGGACTGATGTTTTGGTGAAGCCATCTTAAGAAGAGACTGCAAAATGAAAACCACTAGTTCTCATACTCCAAGACTTAACCCATGGGTCCAGCTCTCTGAGGTCATGCTTCCCTTTTATACCCAACTAAGGTGGCCCAAGCCACAGCAATGACAATCTTCACTAGGGTTTCCCCAACCACCAATTTCTGAGACTCCCCAAGGGATGGTGGTGTGTTAAATCCAGCCTGGTGGTACTTTCCTATCTTGGCCACTCACCTACAGCATGGCTGGAAGTCACCCTGAGACTTCTAGAACAGCACTTTCCAATAGAAATGTAATGCAAGCCACGCATGTAATTTTAAATTTTCTACTTATAGGACATCTTCATTCAGATTAGCCACAAGTGGCTACCACAGTTGAAAGCATAGTTCTAGAATCTTCTCTGCCAGGCTGAGCCCAGTTATAAGAGTAGGCACATTCCTGACGCCTGGGTGGCTCAGATGGTTAAGCGTCTGCCTTTGGCTCAGGTCATGATCCCAGGATCCTGGGATCGAGTCCCGCATCGGGCTCCCTGCTAGGCGGGGAGCCTGCTTCTCCCTCTGCCTCTGCGTCTCTCTCTCTCTCTGACTTTCATGAATAAATTAAAAAAAAAAAAGAGTAGGCACATTCCTTAAATCCCCAGTGTCCAGCTAGTCTGACTGCAATAGCTAACAAAAGTTTATTATTATAATACTGAAAAGAGAAGCATAAAATAGACATCAGCCCTCCCTGGCCCCAGTGCGCAGAGCCTTGCCCCTCCAGAAGGTCCTCTTGCCTGAGTGTAGCTGCTGCCGTGTTACCAGAACTGGCCTCTCCCTCAGCAAGGTGAGTACCTTTGGCCATGCCACCTCTGCCCACTCAAGATGAGAACCCCCACCAGCCTCATAGAAAATAGAACCGCCTCAATTCTAGCCTCCTTCCCCTCACTGTCATCTGGGATACAATTCGAGTCCACACGTTACTGTGGGATGTCGTCTGCAGGTCCCCAGTGAGTGGAGTTGAAGTCTCCATTATCTCAGCCCCTTCATTCCAAACGGGACCTGATCCATACCTCAGCAGAGCCAAAAGCTTGTGGAAGTGGGATCCCTCCCCCCAAAACAAAAGAGCAGCCAGGGATGAATTCTGCCTGCCCAGTGCTACATATCCAGGATCTTCACCCAAGTGGCATCAGGTCCAGGGGACCGAGGGCGATATTTTTGGTAACTAAATATAGTGAGTGACATCAAATGACAGCACATGGAATCTCATCCACCAGCTGAACAACCAGAAAAAGAACATGCCCAGGCAGAAAGCTCAGCTC